TAATATGTCTTTATGAATATGTTAGGTTCCTATTTTCTCTTTCAAAAGTTTTCTAAGAATCCTACTGGTTTATTTTGAGTTTTTTATTTGTCTTTATTAATTACTTCTTATCAATAAACAAATAAAAGCTCAAAAGAAACCAGTAGGACTCTTAAAATTTTTTGAAAGAGAAAATAGGAACCTAACATATTCACCTTTACTTTCTTTTCAGAATGAGAACCCAATAATGCCATTCAAAGAAATTTAATTGGTAATCAATTCAATTATATTTCATTTAGTCCTTACTATAGGAAAGTCAAACAATCAGAATTCAGAACAAAAAAAATTAAAATCACAAGAAAAAAAATAAAGGTGTCAAGTGCATAAAATGTTAAGAATGGAAGTGAATGAAAACTTGTTAGAGTAAAAATGCATCTTGTGCTCTTCTAATGAAGGGCTACATCTGCACTCTTTTTTCAGATTCAAGACATTAATTAAGATGGAGAAACATGATGTCATGACCTTGTCCTTTGAGACAGTTCTCTTTTCAGTAAAAACAAGCACATTAATTTCAGGCTATGTCGTTCATTCTCTGCTTAGGCAGAGCCACTAACAATGCAACAATGAATACAAAGCATTCACCCTTCAGAAAGCTATTAACTGTTGCTGGACTGTTGCCAGGATGGAAGGAAAACATAGTTAAGGATAGAAAGTAATTTCGGGGTCTGCAGACTTCTTTCAGCACTTATAATTTCTCAGATCAGAAAAAGAACAATTGCAGCTGATTAAACTGCTATTTGTTAAAAGGCTCTTAGAAGAAAGTTATGGAATTCCATTTGGCTACTCTGGTCTTGTTATAATTATTGCAACTTTAATACTCCTTTTTACTACTCCCAAAGTACATCCAAACCAAAAGGCACTATAGTACTGTAATTTACAAAACAACCAGGACTTTCCTGAGAACTACTTTCTTGCCCTACAACTAGTTTGAATAATACTCTCTGAAAACAAAAGCCTGTTGCTATGAGAGATAATACTGTATATTAAGTCCATCTTATACTATGTTTCCTTGTCATGTGGCTACTAGCTTGACTATACACTGAGATGCATGGAACACTATGACCTTCCCACCAAAGTGGTACCTATGCCTATCACAGAGTATTCCAATTCACCATATGATCATAGATACCCAAAAGAACATAGATTCATTCTGAATTCAGCTACTGGAATTGCATTTATTGTCACTTAATTTTAAGATTTAGCAACTTTTAAAATAAATTTATTTTATATATAAATATAAATAAATTTTAAGTTATAATCAAAGCAACAAGCTTGTTCTGCTGTGGATACCAAAGCCACACAAAACCAACAATCCAGTATACTAGGATATGACTTATTTTATCCAATCAAATCATTTGACATTTATCTCATATTTATTTTCAAACAAATTTGCTAGGAGGGCAATTCAGAAGTGAAAGATTCATTTTTATTGCTTTCTCCTTTTCCTTCTTAGTTTTTGCATGTATGTTTTGTCTTGACCCACCATGGAATGAAATTCCTGAAATATTTATTCTTTTTTACATGAAGGGCAGAAGCTAATTGAAATCAACTGGAAGTATCTGAATTCCTCTTGATTTCAGCCTCAAAATAGCCAACTTGCATTCCGTACTTGGTGGTTATTAAGATCTGCAGGAAAGGGAGGCTTTTTTGAAGTTTCCCACCCCTGTCTGGTATGTGGGAGTGGGCCTTCTCTTGTCTTGCTTCTGTGCTATGAAGTGTAGATGTACTCTACTCGCTGTAAAAACGTAATGGAAAATTTGAATAATTGCTGAATGAATGATTGTAAGTCAAGAACTACCTATATATGTTTGATTATGCTTGCTTTTAACTTTCCTTAAAATCAAGAACTACAATATTCATGGTCACTTTTTCACAATAGGACTATTATTTCTATTTCCTCAACTAAGTTTCTCTAAGTATAAAATAATAGGTTTTTCTTTCACATGTTAATTTTTCTGATTGCTAAATTTTCTCTCTCTCTCACTTCTATTTTAATGGTCATAGATTTAAATATATTTTTTCCATATATTCTTCCATGTACATTTGTGAATTTAAAAAGGTGATTCTTCAGATAATGGCCAGCCATGTTTCCTATGCATTGATTAGGAAAAGTTATGAGTGTACTTTGTTTCTAAGTGTTTAAGATTTAATAGATGGAAAACAGCAACATCCTTGCATTATTCTTGGAAAGAGTAGAATGATCATGCATTTTTGTTGTCAGTGACTCAGGAGTAAGCATATTTCAGTTCCATTTATTTTCCAGATGGTATGTCCAGTTTAACATTATGAGCTGTTTACCTTTACTGCAGAAAGGACCATCATAAGCTGTCTGGGAACAGTCGCATGAGTATCCATTATATTTTTCAACACATTTGCCACCATTTTTGCAATGTATTCCATAGCTCGTGCAATGGCCAGAACAACCAGGTTTCACACCTGGAGTGACTTTTGCTCTCTCTTCTAAATCCAGAGTCAATCCATTCATTCTTAAAGAGCGAATGCAACCCAAAAATCCTTTCTGTTCACCTGCAGCACCTGAAGAACATAAAATGCCAAATGAAAAATGAACCGAATGAACAGAAAATTACCTCTTAATGAATCACGAAGAACAGTTTCAGCTGAAATCCAGAAGACAAATAAAACCTTGTAAGTGGAATTTTGCTCATTCTCAGTTGCCATCCCAGAGACATCAGGATATGGGGGGAAGGATATGTATTTCAATAGATCTAATTGAGATTCCATTAAATTTTGGAGTGAGAGAACTGAGATTTGCCCTGTTCACAATTGCTTTTCAAAAATGTGCAAACCATAGGAGACCACATCACCTTGACAGGGAGAGAATTTTTTTTTTTTTTTTTAAAATAGTGACTAACCTTTAGGCCTTAAAGTTAAGTCTAGAAAAAGAAATAGGCAGAACTCAAATTAAATTAATTAAATGCAGCAGTATTAAAAATAATAGTTGCAATTAATAATTTGCAAAAGGAAAAAGCAGATAAAAGAAATGCTCAGTTTATCTGCAAATGCATTATTGTTCAACATGAATATTGGAATTTTTTCTAAACTTATTCCTTTTGGGGTTATTCTTTGCATTCCATTATTAGCATATTTAGTAATAACAACCTAAATCAATATGACCTCAGATAGTTATCAATAATTATTAAATGATAATCTAATAATGATCTGATGATGATAATGAAATAATAATGTACTACTATTTTCAAATTCTAAATAGAAACATACTGTAGATTTTGTTTATGGAATTTCTTTATGGAACAAAAGTTGAAAAAATTAACATAACACATATACTGTATATTAAGTGGTATGTGAAAAGAAAGGCTAACATGTTTGATTATTTTTTCAATTTTTATTTTTTTCATTTACTTTTATAATATGCTAACTTCATCAGTTGTAGCCCCCAATCCATTTGGCTTTTCTCAGAATCAATGGATCCCTCCTCTTTGTCAGACATGCAACAAGTACTTTTTGCTTATTATGAATCAAGTACTCCTAGACATCTTAATTGTTTTGAAAGATATGTGATAAATCCTAAACTATCCACCTGGAAACAAAAATAAGCAGCAGTATAGGGTCCTTTTCATTGCTCTTACTTATATCCTCTGCCCAGTTTCACTTACCCTTTGAAAATAAGATTTGATTCCCAAAGCATCTATAAATATCATGTTTTCAAACTTTATGACATTCACTCAGTCCTAGAAAAATAATGTTTAAAATATGTTTCTTAGAAGGGATGCATCTCTTAGCAGCCAAATGTATATGAAAACCAAATCAGTGAGGCTCCACATATATAAGAAGTTTAGGGTCCCATTCATAGAATTTCTTTCTATGTGGAAGGGTTCAGGTTCACTAAGAACAGAGTATAGCAAAGTCTTTTTTTTGAGAGAGAGCTGAAGAGCTGGTCCATTTCAGTATAACACAGTTTTTAAGATATCCCAAACAATTTATTTGCATGCTATTACCTCTATAAGGTAAGGGGCCAGTGTGTTACGTTATCGTAACACCAAATAAAAAAAATTGACCAGCCACATAAATGGATTTTCTGAAAGCATATATATATTGAGGGATAAAATCAGCACTGTGTAAAATGATGAAAAAAGTAAGACAGAAAATTCATTTTCTCCCATGTTATTAGAAGCGGAGCAATGAAATAAATTAAAATGATATATAAGCCTTCAGCATCTTGGCAGGTACCAGACTAACAGAGCTGAAATGACAGCATAGTTTCCCCAGTTGTATAGTCATTATTCATTAGATTTGTTCTTTATTTTTTTCTTCTGTAGTTCTCTAACAGATAAAATAATAATCTTATATAACAACCTTTTAATTAAGTATAAATTTATGAATTGTTTGGCACTGAAGCCGACCTTTCTCTTTTAGAGAAAGTCATTTAGATATGAGCAACTGTAACAAGTGACTGAGAATTTTCATCAGCAGGCTGAGCAGGCATTTGTCATAACTGGGGGTATTGGGAAACAACCTTTGGGCATTTGAACTGTTGATTTCATCAACACGTACATAAAGCTGCTGTATCACATTATACAGAATTATACAAGATCACCATTCTGTTGAAATTACTCCTCCCTTTCTTTAAATTTAGGTGGGTCTCTGAAAGAACTGGATCAGTGTGTAGAACTCATCTTCCTTGGGGGATTAGTGATTTGCTTCGGAGGATTATGCTAATTTTTGAAGTGAAATTTGCTATTTGGCTGCTTCCAAGTGTTCATTACTTGACAGACACAAGCAGTTTGCCAGGATTCTATTAACAACTGCTTCTTGAAATCATGTGTGCTTATGCATGTGTCAACATTAGTGGTACCTAGCCAGGATCTGGTTCTTCTTTTGTAAGCATCTGTTTCTTGCTTCCATGTTATGTGTCTAAAATATTTAAGTTTTAGTTTCCTAATTAGTGCTTTCAGTAACTGTCTGTTTTCCTTTATCTGATATTCAATGGTTTGTTTTGCATTCTATCTAAAAAAGGAATGCATTTCTTAAGTCCCTTTTGTGTCAATTTGGAAACTTCTCTGTTTCCAAACAGAGAAGTTTTCAGAAACTGTTTTCTGGAAATCAGATGCGTGTCAGTGGCAGGTATCACATCAAAAGTGAACTAAACTATAAAGCCATATAGTATCTATTTGATATGTTGTTTAAAAACAGAGAAAATCCAATTACTGCCTTTAAACTAGGAAAAAATAACCCCAAATCTCAAGCCAATCCTTGCACATGATATGGCTATCTCCAAATTGCACCATTATGTATTATGGATTCTGAACCACTAAAAATATTAAATGAAATCCCTGATCACCAAAAGATTATCTTGTTATATCTTACATTAGATTTGTGGTTTGAAGGATGCTTATTGATATATATTTTAATTAAACAACCAAATGATAGCCAGACTATAAAGAACTTTGTTTTAGCTGACATGAGACAGATACATTTGAATATTGCTATTTGGTGGCATATGGATTAGATTTATGCAATGCATAAGAGTAGGACTAGTTGTTAATTGTAACTAGTTTTTAGATTATTTGTTTACATTTCTTAAATTGCACAAGCTATTACAATATTTTTAAGTAATAAAACCGAAATGCTAGCATCTGTATTCAAAACTCCAAATGTATTCTGTTGCATCAATCAGCTTAAATACTAAGATTACAGTGGCAAACTGAATCCTGAATTCTGTCTGATGGGAATGGAGCAAAAATATTATTTTCATCTATTGAGTTTTGTTTATTAAATGTTCTATCTAGGAAAGCTGAAGTCTAGGATGAGTGTTCAATTTTGAACAGATTTGGGAGTTCTGGAATTACTGGATGACAGATATTTAAAATAGTAAATAAAGTAAATAAATGTGAAGTCTTTACAGTATGACCAGGATTTGGAGTGACCACAGGCATCCAGAAAAGGCACTGCATTTTCAGTTCAACATATAATTTCTGCTTACCAACATAGAGCTGACTATAGAGTTCTAGTCGAGTGTGGCCTTCAGTGGGAGCCTTCCGGATTTCTCTAGGAAACTGATCTACTTGCAGGCTGGCTTCTTTGACATTGCGCTCGGCAATCACTCGATGCCACTGATCATCAGTGAGCAGATGGAGTGACTTGACAATAATTTCTACTGGGCCATTCCCCACATTAAATGAGAAAGATACATCTGTGGCAGCTGATGAGAGAAGGTTAGAGAAATATAATTTTAATACAGATTCTTTTACTTGGTGTTTTTTTTTAAAAAGATCTCTACTTGCAATTATGTTTCTTTTCATGAATTTACAGCATAGATTTTGAATGCGTACAACAAAAAATAATCTACTGAATACAATATCCATATAATAATGAATTCAAGTAATAAAATGGTTTTAGTCATTTAATATTAAACTGGATGATTGTTAGAAATTGATCAGGACTAAGGGTATTCTAGGGGGAGTGAGTCCCAATGTAGAGGCTGTTGCTGAGAAAGCCTGTCTTCTCTTGCCTACACCGTACAGGCTTTTGAAATAACTATCAGCTGTATATTCAGACCATATAGGCACTCACATTTGAAGTTTTGACTATCTAGCAGTGTTATGTCTTATTGGCCTCAGAGATGATAACTAGCACCTTGAGTTAGGCCTAGCAATCAAGATAGCAACCTCAAAATGGGTGTTTCTCTTGAGGCCACACAGGAATGGACACTATAATACTTGAAACATGGGTTTTGTGGTACTGTTACACTGGCTAAGTAACATAGGCTTCTTTCTTGTATTTTAAATTTGTTTTTCAACTATATTGCTAATAATTTCCCATAAACCTTAACCTTCAAGAAAAGCCTCTCTTTCAGAAACCAAGACTAGCAGGAAAGCATTCAATATATTGTAGATAACAATTTCCTTTTCAGCTGTTTTCAAGCCTCCACGAACAAAGAAAACAGTCCAGCTCAATCTTGGGAAGCGCTAAAATGTACCTTACCCATTTTGATGTTTTTCCTTTGCAAATATTTCTTTTACTCAGAATACAATGCTCTTTTCTATGGCTATGCTCACATATATTGGATGACTTGATTCATATAATGTAACTAAAAAGATGACTATTTCTAAACTAATCAATTTTTGCTTTGAAGTTCTTTGTTGTGCAACCTATAAAAGTAAATGTAATTCATTTTTCCTGATTCCCCCTTTTCATAGGGAGACCTCATTGGTTTTAAATGATCTTCTGATATGGTTGCTTATTGGAAAAGGTAAACCTAAGCAAAACCTAGGGCCAGATTAGCCCAACATTCTACAGTCCCCCTAATCATCCTTCCTTAATTAAGAATTTACTATCTCTTAACCAAACACAATACCATCTGAAGAAGGAAGGAAAGCATGAATCATCCCTTGATAGGGAACACTATCTACTTCCTCAGGTTATATAAATTCTAACAATAGCAAGCATCATAAGACACTAATGTGTTCGCCACAATGGGCAGAGCCCAATCCACATAAAAAAAAAAAATAAAACAATCACTTTATCCACATGAAAATTTGCAATATCATCCAGATCACCCCTATATCCTTTCTTAAAAGAATCTTTGTAACTCAGAGTAGAGCTGCCTGTTAGGAATCTTCAAGCACAATAAGTTTGAATATGAGTGTTTATTACTACTCAGTTGCATGTAGATTGCTTTAGTTTACAGTTAAAATATAGACATAAAATTTTAATAGTATGAAATGTTCTTACACATTAATTAAGTAATGTGATGTAGTCATAATTTTATATTGGGACCTTTTATGATAGGCAACTGGCTAATGAAGAACAAAGAGTTACTATGCTGAAAAATATATAATTAAATTGCTAAAGTACATTAACAACAAGAGCAAGAGTTTCTACCAGTCTCTCTTTTGTATTGTTAAAGTTTTACAAGAGCATTTATTAAAAAATTAAAAAGGAAAAGTGTTGGTAAAGTATACTTTCACTCTTATTAATTCTATATTGTTTCATTTATGGAAATCTTTTTCTTTATGATACAAATTGGAAAAGACTAATTTTACTACTATACTACTATTTTATAGTTTGAAATATTATATTTTTTCATATTGTCAAAGACTACAATTATATAAAATAAATTTTATTATGGACTTCAGTTTTCAGATATCTAAATCTATCAGAATACAAGAACTATTAATATTGTTTTATCTCACTTTTTGGGGAGGACTGGTGGTTGCAAAAGTTGCAAAACATAGTCTAAATTATTCAATCTTGCACTAGATCAATAAATAGGTCCATGAACACGTTTTAACAAATCAGAGCACACTAAGACACATTTCAACACAGTTTCATGTTGGAAACTTGACAATAATCATTTGAAATTTTACTTGATAAATGGATTATATTTTTAATAATTAAAATCAATAATTTAAAAAATATGGGGGAAACCATGGAACCTAAGTATTTGTACGAGAAAGCAATTAACTCCTACATTTTACTATCTGATGTAAAACAAAAGCAAAACAGCACAAAACCCTCAAATATCTATTATAAAACATTTCATGCTAAACATATATTCTTTTTGTTTTAATCTTTTGGATATGAAACTCCCCTGTCCTGTGTATTAACTCATTTACTGCTTTGACTAACTGTTTTTATTTGTTTTTAAAATACTGGGCTTCATTTGTTTTTGACAGTCTAAGATGCACTGTGTTCCAAATAATATGCCTCAAGGTGTCTTGTTTTCCTGTTTCTTTTTTGGGAGTGGGGACAGACAGTGACATAGATTGGTGAACTAAATAATGACTTGCTGTTTCTAAGCAAATATGCCTAGCTGTGCCTGTGCATTGCTAAAAGAGGTTTAGACTTTCAAACAAGTAGAAAACCACCTGCATGCACCCCAGGTCCAACTCCGGCATCTACCTAACTATATCATAAGATATCAGTGAGATCTTAAAGACATCACTATTATCTACGCCATGTGGAATGCTAAGTGGTAGATAGCTCACAGGCTGGTCTGGGCAGTCTTAAAATATCTCAATATTAAGGCCAACTGTCTTGTCTTTTAAAAACTAGAAACTTTTTCTAATATAATCAGAATCTTTCTCCTCCACCAAGCTGCTTGTTTTGAAATCCCAGGTTTTTTTTTTACTATTCATAACTGTCAATCCTGAAGCAAACCTGGCTAAGGCCGTCTTTGAGGCTTCAGGGTTACCACAAAAAAGAAGAAGGGACAGGGGGGGGGGGGAATAGCTAGCCGGGGTGTTGTAGTCAAAACAAGAAGTTTTCCTGTGGGAACCAAGGACATTCCAACAGGTGGCTGGGGAGAGGAGGAGTGAAGTAACCAACCAACCGGCCAGCACCTTGATTGGACAATGTGACTGATGACTTAGGGGAAGGGGGAAGGGGGAACTTTTCCTTTTTAATTAGGTGAAAACTGCGGGAACCTTCAGAGTCAGTTTTCATCAATGTGAAGTTTTCACCAATATGAAGTTTCCAATAAATTGTTCCTTGATGAATCTACTTCCTTTGGAGTTCTTGCATTATTTGAAATGCTGACAACCTTATTTGTCATTCATATTATACAATCAGAGTATAATGATGAACTCAAGGCAAATTTTATGATAATGTTTCATGATATAATCTGAGCATTTAAATTCATCATTGGGAATCATAGATCAAAGATAAAAATAGATAAAAGAGAATTGAACAACTGTAATCCGTTGCCAATAGCATTGTAAAAGGACTCAGGAATGTCTTAGATCAATATTCCCCTATTATGTTAAATCAGTATAGCATGCAGCACAGTTGTGTATACAATATTCAATGACTCTTCCCCAATGTATGCTTGGTATTTTAGCCTAAATTCTGATTTTTGACAATGGTAAGAACCTCTTTTGTGTAATTCATATCCGTTTTACATTATCTGTTGACCTAGAATTACTAGGAATCCAGAGAACTGTAAGTCTCAATCAATGCCTCATGAAAGATTTATTGAAATGTTTTTTGAATGCTACAGTATTTTATGTATATTGCCACAAGAATTATTACAGGGTATTATTTAGCAGACTGAGATTTTTATTTTTTCATCAGAATGCTTAAAGCTATCTACACCACAAAGTTTGATATTTTATTTTCTAGCTGCCAGGTCTTTAGTCCCCTTATATATATTTGTTTAAAAAATGCATTTTATTTTGCATTTAATTGTATGGACATTCCTTTCTCTTATTTTTATTTTCTTTCTTTTTCCTTTTTGTGTTTAGGTATTCAAATTAGTTGTGCGTATAAGTAAGATTATTATATACACTTCTGACACTATTTACTTTCTGGCTCAACTTTTTTAGACAAACCATTTACGACTTTTCTTGTCATAGTTGTTAAGTGAATCACTGCAATTTTTAAATTAGTAACACAATTGTTAAGTGAATCTGGCTTCCCCATTGACTTTGATTATTAGAAGGTCACAAAAGGGGATCACATGACTCCGGGACACTGCAACCGTCATAAATATGAGCCAATTGCCAAACAACTGAATTTTGATCACATGACCATGGGGATCCTGCAATGGTCATAAATGTGAAAAATGGTCATAAGTCACTTTTTTCACTACCATTATAATTTTGAATGACTATTAAATGAAGTGTTATAAGTCAAAGATAACCTATTCCTGGGTTACTCCTATTTCATTCAGAAAACCACCTGGTTCCATTTCTTCTTTTATTTGTACTTTTTAAAAAAAAAATCTGTGTCACTGAGCTATATTTCAGAATATCATTTTTTTAGTGCAAAGTATTTAATATAAGAAGAGCCTGTACAGAGATGTGATGGTTTTTTTGTGATTTTTTTTCTTTTATTCTTTATTTCATAGATAGTAGGTACATATGATATAATTGTACATTTCCTGCACAGCCAGGGAGCTATTATTCTGTTGGTTTTGAACCTTCAGAAATTTTGAATGACATTATAGAAATCATATTAGACTACTCAGATTCAAGCTAAGGATAACCTGCAACAGAGATGTTACCAACTTTTATAAAAGCTCAAAATGCCATGCAATAAAATGTTTTAAAAATATCAAAAGAATAATTGATATTGAAGATCCATTTTGGAATGCCATCAGTATGCCAATGGTTTCAGAATCAAACTTAATTAATAAACATGTTCAGTTTTTATAAATTGTTTATATGCAATATTTGAATCACAGAGGGCACAAGCAGTAAA